ATTCCAGACGACAGGATTCCGCTGAGCCTTCTCCGTCAGTGCGGTCAGAGGAGCGGCGATGGTGGCAAACTGTGGCACGAACCTCCGATACCAGCCGACCAAGCCCAAGAAGGACCTCACCTCCTTCTTCGTGCGAGGCCGTGGGCAGCTGCGGATCGCCTCCACCTTGTCTACCTGCGGACGGACCTCACCTCGACCCAGCCGATAGCCAAGGTATTGCGCCTCCTCCTTGGCCCACTGACACTTGGCAGGATTCAGCGTCAGTCCCGCCTGCTCGATCTTGCCAAGGACCCTCTCCAGATGCTGCAAGTGCTGCTCCCAAGTGTCGCTGAAGATTACCACATCGTCCAGGTAAGCAGCACTGCAGTCACCGCAATCCCGTAACACACGGTCCATTAGCCTCTGAAAGGTTGCAGGGGCCCCATGGAGACCAAACGGCATCACCGTAAACTGGAACAATCCAGCAGGGGTCTGGAACGCCGTGTAGGGACGACTGGATGGCTCCATAGGCACCTGCCAGTAGCCCTTGCAGAGGTCAAGGGTGGTGATGAACCGGGCCCGGCCGATCTTCTCCAGTAGGTCGTCGATCCGGGGCATCGGGTAGGCGTCGAACTCCGATAGGGCGTTGAGCTTCCGGAAGTCGATGCAGATGCGGAGCGACCCATCCTTCTTCACCACGATGACCACTGGACTGCACCACTCGGACGTTGACGGCTCGATCACCCCCAGGCGCTGCATCTCCTCCACCTCCTTCAGTAGCTGCGCCACCAGATGCTGAGGGACCCGATAGGACCGCTGCCGAATGGGCCCCTTTTCCTTCAGGCGGATGACGTGCTCGACCAAGACAGTCCTCCCCGGGTTGGCAGCAAACAGCTTGGAGACCCTCCGGAAGACCTCGCTGAGCTGGCTGGCCTGGGTGATAGAGAGATGGTCGAGAGTGGGTGGAGGCGGCTGGTGGCGGTCAACGAGAGACAGCTCCTCGTCACCATCGCTGTCGACCTCAGCCACGAGAAGAGACAACACAGGAGCAGAGACTGGGACAGCCTCTTTCCACTCTTTCAGCAGGTTGACGTGGTAAGTCTGTTTGGTTTTCTTCTTGTCAGGGTGGTGTATTTCGTAAGTAACAGGGCCCATCTTCCTCAGGACAGTGTATGGACCCTGCCACTTGGCCAACAGCTTGCTGGTGGAGGATGGCAGCAAGAGCAGGACCCTCTTGCCAGGCTGGAGCTTTCGATGTCTGGCCTGTCTGTCGTACCAGGCCTTCTGTGTCTGTTGGGCCTCCCGCAGGTTGACCTCAGCCTCCTCCCGATACTTGGCCAGGCGTTCTCTCATCTCCAGCACAAACTGCACCACACTCCGATCACTGGTAGCCGTTGTGGGAGCCTCCCAGGCCTTCAGCAGTAAGTCCAATGGGCCCTGGACGTCCCAGCCATACAGCAGCTCGAACGGGGAGAATCCGGTGGATGCCTGCGGCACCTCTCGATAGGCGAACAGCACAAAGGGCAGCCACCGGTCCCAGTCACGTCCAGTGTCGTCCACGAATTTCTGCAGCATCTTCTTCAGGGTCTGGTTAAACCGCTCGACCAAGCCGTCCGTCTGCGGGTGATACGGAGTCGTCTTGATCGCCGAGATCCCCAGCTGGCGGTGGAAGAGCTGCATGAGTCGGGATGTGAAGTTGGTCCCCTGATCCGTCACGATCTCATCAGGCACACCGACCCTGGAAAAAAATTGCACAAGACAACGCAGCACAGCAGGGGCAGTGACTGTGCGCAAGGGGAACGCCTCAGGGAACCGTGTTGCGTAGTCTGAGATTACCAGGAGGTACTGGTAGCCCCCACTACTTCGCACGAGCGGGCCAACAATGTCCATGGCTATGCGCCGGAATGGGGTGGAGATGACAGGTAGAGGTTGGAGGCAAGCACGGTCAGATTGGCGGACAAAGCAGGTTTTTTGACAGGTGGGACAGGTTTTGCAGTAATTTTGAACATCAGAGTACATCGAGGGCCAATAGAAACGGGAAGCAATGCGCAGGTATGTTTTGTTGCGACCCAGATGACCAGCCCAAGGCACGGTGTGAGCCAATGGCAAGATCCTTTGGCGGCAAGACGAGGGAACAACGAGGCGCTTGAGACAGTCTGACACTAAATACAGAACATTCTTGTCATCAATAACGTAACTCTCTTTGTTCCCCTTGGCACTGTCTAGCCCCCCAACCACTTTGGCAAACACTGGTTTCAGGGTCTCATCCTGTCTCTGCACAGCCCCAATGTCCCCTGGTACCTCCCACAAGTCTTTGTCAAGCCCCTGAGAGTCTGGCTCCCTTGACTTCAGGCCCCTCTCGAACCTCCGCTGGCTACGTGGTTTCCTGGGACCCTTTTTGCCCCCCTCAAACAGGTCACTGTCCAATTTGGAAAAAGGTTCAGGCTCCGGCTCCGGCTGCTGCTTTGTACTGGGTGCCAACCCTGCTCGGACCTGAGCCCGGGTCAACACAGGACCAGCCAAAACCTTGTCACAGTCCCTCTCCTCGGGTTGCTCCTCCCGCAATAAATCCAGGAGTACAGGTAAGTCCCAGCCCAAGATAGCGGCTACCGGTAACTTCTCCACCACCCCCACAGTAAGTAAGTATGGTTGTTCATCCACCATCACCGTCATGTCCGCCGTGGGGTAAGAATGTCTGTCCCCGTGTATACAACAAATGTCCTCCATCTTATTGTAATCCAACAAGCCCGTTGGCACAAAGTCCCTCCGTACCAGAGTCATGAAGCTCCCTGAGTCCACCAGAGCAGTCACAGGTTCCCCATTAATCCACACTTTCTTGAACCGCTGTTTTCTCCCTACCCCTTGCATGTCCTCAGCCCGTGGGGTGTAACAAGCTCCGGTAAGCTTAGCCTTTCGGATTGGGCACAGGGCAGCCTTGTGTCCTGACTGCTGACAGTAAAAACAGATGAACTCCTTACCAGGACCACGTTGGCTGGGTGCAGGCCCAGGATCTCTAGGTGGGTAGAAGCTGGCTCTGGGTTGTGACGGCGGCTGACGAACATCCGGGTAAGCAGCTGGGCCTCCCCTCCGTGCGTTGCGATACTGCAGCGCGAGCTTGGCTGCAGCTAGCCCCTCTGTCGGCACATGCTCCTTCACCCAGGTGCGGACGTCTGCCGGCAGGACGCGAAGAAGCTGCTCCAGGATAATCTGCTCCCCGATCTGCTCCTTGGAGTGCTGCTCCGGCCGGATCCAGCGCCGGTACAGCCCCTTCAGACGGTGGTAGGTCTCGGTCGAGCTCTCTCCCGGTGGCACCGACAAGGACCTGAACTGCTGCCTGTAGGTCTCCGGTGAAACATCGAACTTGATAAGCAGTGCAGCTTTCAAGTCCGGGTAGGAGTGCGCCAACTCCTCATCCATGGCTGTGTACGCTTCCAACGCCTTCCCAGTGAGTAAGGGCACCAGCCGACATGCCCACTCACCTTCCGGCCAACCCCAAGTTCTGGCGATGCGCTCAAAGCGTAGCAAGTAGTTCTCAATGTCCTCCCCTGAGACATATTGAGGGATCTTGGGGTCGCCGTAGAGCCGGCCCTCATGTCTGGAGGGTTCAGCTCTCTCCATGCTGATCTTTGGGGCCTCGTCGTAGAAACTGCGGCGCTGCCGAGGAGCTGGAGTGGGGAGATCCCCCCTGAGACTCGGTGTTGACTCCTGAGATGGTGATGCAGGTCTGGACACAGGGACAGACCGCTGTGGGTCTTGGAAGGTGTCCCGAAGCCCTCTCAGCTCCGCCAAAAACCCCTCGTCCCTACGCTCCTGTCCTTTCAAAAATGTCCTCATGACCTCCACGAGCTCGTCCCTTGGACTTGGTGCAGGCTGCTTGATTGAGGCAGCGGCGCCACCGTCCTCATCTTCAGTTGCCCAGCCTCCATCGTCCACAGGTAAGTCCTGATCCATTTTTTGTGAGCGCAGCCCTGCACGCTTCACTGTAGGGTGCTTCCGTCGACTGGCCATCCCACTCCTGACACCAAATGTCACGGGTTCGTTCAAAAATATAACAAAAATTATGGCCAAGCCGAAAACTATTGTTTGTGATAGTTTATTTTTATTGCTCCCAAGGTGAAAACAATTAAACAAAAACCAAGGACTACTTTACAGGACTATTTACAGGACTATTTACAAAACAACTTACTAGGACAGCCAACACCACCATCAGATCCAGCACTCCCTTCAAATGAGCTCAGCTCCCCTTTAAATACCCCTTTAGCCCCTCCCCCAGGTAAACCAACATATCAATTAAGGGGTTTTAAGGAAAAAACAAAATAACAAAAACTCAATGCTCAGTTTCCCACATAGAAACTCAAAATAAACCAAAATGACTCCATATAGTCTTCAAAACATCCAAAACATAAACAATATAAAAATACAAGACAAAACGCCAAAAATGGTTACGTCCGTGGTCACGTGACTTGCCAAGCGCGCTACTCTGCGCTATTTCCAACGTGATGTGGCAGTGCTCCGTTTGGCCCCTGGACCCGGAACAGCGGGAACGCGCAGAGGTGAGAGGTGAGTATGTGGAGGCTCGGCGCCGAGTGTGCACCCTCGGACGCGCGTGCGATGACCGGTTCAGACGGGGGGGAATGTTTGTCGGGACTGTGCAGGACCGCGGGACATAGGTGCGGACCTGCACGCAGCAGTTTGCTGGGCAGCGCACTCCTGTGGGAGAGACTTCTCCCCGTGCGCGCGCTCCGGGCACCGCGCTCCGATACGTGGAGTCTGTGAGGGACGCTTAGGAGCGCTCCATCACAGATATACACAGAGAGCCAGAACCAAGTGTCCATAATCTGTACCACTTTTGGTTGGAATACCAAAAATGAAAAAAGGTGGGGAATCCTTATAAAGGTGGTAGAGAACGTCAGAGTTAAGATCTTGTTGTACATCTAGATCCAGACTGATCCAGGTGATGGTTAACCAGCCAGATATTATGGTTAGTGATCGAAGTAAGCAGTAGAGATAGATGTATAAATTCAAAGACACTGCCCTACAAGAATAAAAAACAAGAGAAGATGAAGAAATGCCAAGGGCGTTGAAAAGACGTTGGAATTAAAGGCTGTCACCTGAAGTACTCTGAGCTATAACCCACAAACTAAAATAATCTCTCCAGCAGATCATGTGGACAACATCAGGAGGCTCAGGAGGAAAGAGCAGTTGCCCACTCATTGGAGGGTCAGTGGTTCTCCGTGTTCCTCCAGAACACATGCCGGAGAATCCTTGGGCAAGGCTCTGAACCCCAAGTTGCCTACTGGTTGCATCTGGTGTACCTAATGGTGCAACCAGTGTGTGAATGGTGGATGACACGTAGTGTAAAGCGGTTTAAGTAGTCAGCTTGACTAGAAAAGCGCTATATAAGTACATTTGCGTCTCTGCTTAGCTCACTGCAGTCTGAGGAACAGTTAAGATATAATAGGGAACATTTAAACTGCTGGATCTCTGGTTGAGTGTTTAGGTGTCTAAACACATTAACACTTTTATAATATGGTTTAGGTGTTTTCGGTGGTTAAATTTTGGTTTGACAAAGAGAATTTCTGCATTGGAGTAGAAAGGGGGTGTAATGGCTTACGTTAATCAAGTAAAACTGATAAAAACAATTCTGGTAACATATGGTTTAACTTATGGTTTATCTTCAAACAACTCTTTTACGTTCTTCAAAAAACAACGTGCAGAAACACATTGTCTCTTAAATTGAGACATTGCTTTGCAGATCATCAAAGAAAGCCTAAACAATAAGGTTTATACATAATGGAAAAAAGATACTTTATATTGAGATAAAGTTTGGCAAATTAGTATAAAGTGAGAAACAAATACATGAAAAACTACTACTAATTTTCACAGATATACTTTGCTAGTATTTGTTTGTATATATAACGGCATGTGAAGCATTAAGAAAGGCATTAAGAGGGCAACAAATAATTAGAACAGTTAGAACTCATATCTTGTCCGTAAAGGCCAAGTCCCAGCAAACCAATGTGAAAATTTCTTTGCTCTTAAAATTGCAACACTACATATTGAATGCCAAAGATATTTCTTTTCATTGAACAAGCAGTAAAGCACAATACTTGTGGGGAATATTTTAATGGTGGAAATCCTTTCTGTTAGTATTATAGCTTCAGTTGAACAGCACTTCATCATTGCAAAGCACAAGGCTTACACCTCAGCTAAATGGCATACATTGCTAATGGCATTCTTTTAACATGACTGAAACTATTAACAGTTTATCTGCTAATGACTTTGCAGATAAGTGAACAACACTTAACTATTTTTTTCTAGAATGATTACATTTGTAGCTTTGATTTTCCTGTGACTCATGACCAAAGGACTGATTTACATTGCCAAAGGGGTAATGCTAGTTCCTTCCCCATCACACAAATGGGTGTTAATCACAATACTATGTAAAGTGCTATCATTTGGGACTCTCAAAAGGAAGTAAACTTCGGTTGGTAGCCAAAGATGTTAGTAAAATATATTCCCTGCTTGCATTGTATAGATAATATAGTAGTTATTGTATTTCTGGGCTTGTTGTGTTGTACTTTGAAACATTTTACCGTATAGTTTCATAGTTTCATGTATCTTAAGTGAGGGATGTTTTAAGTTCCTGTTCGTAATTTCTGTTCAATGAAAAGTGTTGCATTTTGTAAACCCTGATCCAGTCATATTCAGGGAAAAGCATAGAGGAAAAGAATTTGAATGAATCTTTTTTGGTGCTGCCACCTAATAGGCTTAAAGAATGTTGTAAACATGATGACAGTACCTAAGAACAGCACCATGGTCACAGACACTAAAATTATGCAGATGGAGTCATCTGAAGAACATATAAATGACTGTATGCCATTACAGTCAACACTGCATCCAAATTGGAGAAAGGCACAGTAATGATGACATTAGGGCAAAAAATAGGCTCACATACATACAAGATGGAAATGTTTTCTTTTAATGTCAGCACCACAGCACCCAGACAACAACCACAACAATGAAAGATGACTGCTTAAATAAAGGTTTAACTAAATTGGAAAAAAGCATTATAAGGGATACACACACCCAAAAGATAAAACAAACCAGACCATTTACATTAAATGAACAGCTAATGAAACAATACATTAGTTACAAATTATTTACAAGATAATTTAACATATTTTAATTCAACCCCTATAAGTACCCCAAACCTAACATGAAACCAAATAACATAAATGTTACAAAGATTAATTGTGACACCGAGCATTTGTTATGTAATTTATTTAACAAACAGTTACTTATTTCAGCCCAAATAGAACCTAGTGTTGTATTCTAGCACGTGACATGGTTTCAAATTTGTTTTTGTGTGCTTGGAATTGCACCTGATTTGAGTCTTAAAGGTGGGTCACGGGGAAAATATGTAACCTCGCATGCACTTTTTTGCAGACAGATTCATGCTGTACATGTAAAGCATGTTGAGGAGTGTGATGCAGCAATAGTCTACCCTTTAACCTCTGAATCTTGAATGAATTTAACCTAATTGGTTGGTCAGCTCCAATGCTAATTAGTGTGGCATTAATGCGTGAAGCCGTGGGCTAGTGTGGCGCCAGAGTTTCTGCATGAGTGTGGGGGCTGGCATGGCTCTATAAAGCAGCCACCATCACCCCAGCCTTATAGGAAGCCTACTGGGGGGTGAGAATGCACTACACCCAGTCCAGTCCCAATTCACAGTGTAGACTTGGAGCTTCCTCTGATCCCCTTTTTAAAAAGTCCTTGCGAAGGAGCGCTGATGCATGTGCAAGGAGGACCAGGGATGCTAGAGTGGCTCTTCTGTAAACTCATGACAGCGTACATACCCTTGCCACTCCGCAGCAGGCCCCTACTTCCCTGAGTGGCGAAAGGACAGCATCAAACAATGACTGATGCTGGCATGACATTCGCTGCTAATTGCCCTAGATTATGATTCCAATAACGGATGTTTATCCCAATTAACTTGTTGTTGATCTCAATCAAATGCTGCAATGTTGACCACTCTTATTAAAGTTCTTTGTCTTTAACAACATATTATCCCCCTATATGATCCCTTGACTTTCCCTTTGGGAATACATTCAAATATTTCTGTGTCTGTGTGGCTTCTGTTCTTGTAATAGTGAGTCCTTGATTATGTTAGCCAAGACATTTCAGCTTCATCCTGCCAAGTCCTGTTGGTCATCAGGATGGAGGGCAAACGGGGCAGGGGAGTAGGGCTAATGATATAAAAGTTGCCCTAAAAATCAGTTGAACAGTGGTTGGTCCTAATGGCTGGTGACTGCCAAGTGTTGGGTTGATTGATGCTGGCCTGTGCTTCCTTACCCCACCAAGTAAATGTTGTCGTGGTGAATCTCTTACTGCATAGATCAGTGGCACATTCTGTAATCATTTGTGGTGACCAACTAGAGACATTAATTGGATCACAAGACTGTCATCACTTACACACTTTGATTGGTTTTGGGGAATGTCAACAATGTTAAACTCAGCTTTTGAAGGAAATCACAATTTACTGTCACCAATCACTATTTATTAAAAACAATACGCACAACAAAACAATTATTTGTTCCTTCAAGTTTGTCTTTTCCAACATTTTATTATGCAACCACCATGAAGATTCTTTTCACCACAGCTCATTGTCTAAAGCCCAGAAGGGGCAGGCTGTTTCTTTAAATATACTCAAAGAAGTGTGAAACAGCAGTGTGGGTCAGCTCTGGGGCCTTCAGACCAGAGCGGTGCTCTTCCCTCCCATCCCATTCCAAGTACTGAGCTCACAGGCAGCTCACAGGCAGATTTAAGTGCTTCTCCAGAGATAGTCCCTTTCCCTTAAATTGCCTTTCACATCTGTATAAGAATGCCCACAATGTACATGCTTAACATGTGACCATTAATCACTGCACGACAGTCAATTAAAGTCATCATAGGCAGCCCTGGTTAGAGACGTTCATTTGCATAATGGTATATGTAAGCATCAATTTCTACATTTACTGTGGTTGTAAGTGCTTCTTTTTTTTTCAAATTTGGACGTTCAGGATGAATACTATTTTGCAGGAGGATCGTATATCCCTCTATTTGGTGTGGACAGCTAAAGCTAACCAGTCTGTGGTACAAATGCATACTGACAATGAACCAAATAAAAAGTATGACTCTTGCTGTACTTTATTTTGAGTGCCAGTTAACATTTGAAATGATTTGAATCTAGCCCATATGATGGAAGTTTCTTTTAATCTATCGTACATAATGGAGGTTTATTTCTGAAGTTTTAATTGCCAGTTACCAACAGACTTAAACTTGCAAAACTTCGCCCTTGTCCGTTCATTTGACAGTATTCCGGTTATCAAATCATGATGACTATTTTGATTTTACAATCCAAAGTGGAAGCACCAGTTTGTTTACGGCCAGTTCTTTGTTTGACATATTCAAGTAAAAGTTTAGTCAGTGAACTAAGTAATTTTACAACTCTTTTGGTATGCATTTATTTGTAAACATATGTGACATATTAAGCTTCTTTATCCATACCTGGACCAGAGTAATTTGTGGAAATGTACATGAAAACATTTCCTCATCTGACTAGTTAAAACTTTGCATTAAATGCATTTACAAAACCAATAGGTAAAGAGACAACTCTAGTAGCTTTACATCGATAAATAACTAGTTATAACATTTGGATTCTAAAATAAGTTCTGAAATCAAAAGTGAACCATCAAATTTTGAAAAATGTTAAGCAACTTAAAATAGTTTATTGCCCCCAAAGCAGCCTTCTTTAATTAAATGTGCTACTTACCCCTGGTTTACTTACTAATCTGATATGAGGATTTAGCATATAATTATACTCCAGCTAGATGGAAAATCGATTGACATGAAGTTATGAATATAAACACACAGCAGACTCTGCTACAGAGCTGACATTTAACCATGCAATTATCTTCCTTGAGAATATACCTTTCAGATCATCTTAAGTGCAGCCTGCTCATTTATTTTCTCTTTTGATCCATCAGCTGTGCC